TTATTATGCCGAAAAAATTACCGGCCGAAAATTTTTTCGGTTAATTTTTTATAGGTGTCCCAGGAATAATGAAAACAACTGTAAATTAAGCCCGAACTGGTAGTTCGATCACAAAAATTAATTTAACTAGTTCGATAATGATCATTACCAAATTTGCAACATATTTATTAAAAATGCAATTGATCCCGAAGGCCCTTAAACACAGCGGTAAGACTACAGTGATTTTTTTCGTGACAGTATTTTATGATGTAACCCATAGTAAACACTTTAACGTTTTGGAAGCCTTCACTTCTGAGCTTTTTGGGGTATCGATTACATGACAACACTTTGGAACAAGAGGAAATAGAACACAGTCGGTATAAGCATAAATTAGAAACTATCCTCAAATATCATGACAAAACATCTGAAACCGGGAAAATAGCACGCGCTGTTAAAAAAGTTCCAGGTAATATATTTTATTCGGCGCTATACCACTCTGGACTACTCTGCTGGTTGCGCTGGTGGTGGGAAAGGTTGCTGCTTGTCATGTTTGTTGGTGGAAATAGTGTAGATATCTAACCTGTTCCATAATCATCTACCATGTTTGCGTGCTGACAGTAAGAAAAGTTGCGACTTGTTGATTAGTGTATAGTGCAGTGTTTAAACGTTCTACCTTGTGGGTTGCGTGCTAAACAATTTAGCGTAATTTGTTATTGGCTTCAAATTGTAATATTAGTCATTTTATGCATCAGGTATTCATATTGTTGATGATCTATTGATTTAAAATAACAATATTTTCAAACTACTTTCTAGCTATTGTCTAGCCATTTTCTAACTATTTTTAATCTATTTTTTGCTTGTCTATGGGCTGTGCTGCAAAGTTTATTCACATGTTATTTATCTATAATTAATCGATATTCTTTTTAATTTATAAAAATGAAAAAAGTCAAAAGAGATAAATTAGTTTTAGAAACTGCAAACAAAAAGAAGAAATATTATAAGTTTAAGCATTGTAAAAAAAGAAACAAATTAAATACAAAAAATTTATTCAACTCTTTCCAATAACCTCTTGGTCAACAACAAAAAAACTAAACTATAGTAAAATGTTATAAAAAAGCAACAAAGTAGACATGATGATACTCTTGTTTTATACAAAGTAGACATGATGATACTCTTGTTTTATACAAACAACTTGCTGTTGATGAAGTTTATATATATAAAACACCAAGAAGCAGGTGTATATCAACAAGTGGTCTGTGTCTTTGGTCAAGCTTCTAGTGAACTTCTTTACATTTTCAGTAGCCAAATCAAAAAGATATTTTAAAAATAATAGACTAATAAAAATATATAAGGTTCTTTTTATAAATTTTATAGTTATATTGTATATAGTGATTTTGGCTAATAG